CCCCGCCCACACTCCCACCCACACCCACCCCCCCACCCACACCCACACCCACACCCACACCACCCACACCCACACTCACACCCACACCCACGCCGACACCCACACCCACACCCACACCTACCCTCGATTATTTTATTTTCTCTCTTATATAGAATTTTCTAACAGATATGGATTATTTCCAGCAGATATGGTTTAAATAGCAGGAGAAATGCTTCATCCGTTTCTCTCTTTATAAAGAGAAATGAATTTATTCAAAGAGAAATCGATTATTTTATTTTGTCTCTTATATAGAATTCTCTAGCAGATATGGATTATTTCCAGCAGATATGGTTTAAATAGCAGGAGAAATGCTTCATCGATTTCTCTATTTATAAAGAGAAATGGATCTATTCAAAGAGAAGTCGATTATTTTATTTTGTCTCTTCGAGGCTTCCGGTGACGAAAGCAGTGAAAATTCAGTTATTGAAGTGTCTACTAGCAGAAAAGGTTTGTTTCTTATGTATACGCATATGTTAAAATGAAAATAGAACAACAGAGGACTAATCATCAGGACTCTGAAAGAGAAAAGATTTCCCTTTAAATTGAAGTAGATGCAGAATATCAAATAATATATATATGTATATATATATATTTATATTTTTCTTTCTTTCCGTTTCTCCTTGTTGAACCATTTCTCTCTGAAAGAAAAACCATTTACCTCTAAATTCAAGTATATGCACAATATCATATAATAGATTATATGTACATACATATATATTTTTTTTCTTTCTTTCCATTTCTCCTTGTTCTGCACGATTTTATGTGGGGTGAAGCATTTCTCCATAAACGGGAACAATTTCCCCAACGACTTCGTACTATTGTCCACTGCTGTCTCTGACAAATATTCCTATACAATAACTAAACATTATAAATAAAAATCATTTCATTGCATTATTTCACAGTAGAAAATGATTCAAAAACAGCAGAGATATACAGAGCTAGATAGCTAGAAATAGTCGTTGACTTATGCAGACATATTCTGGTGGGTTACGGGTGTTGCATAGCTATCGATAAAGAGAAGAATTGCACTAATATCCACAGTTCAACCCCACACCCGCATCCCTACAATGTCAGTGATATCAATATCTTTCACGCTCATAATGACATTTAAAGAAAATAATTAATTTCGAGTTTATTGTGAGAAGAAAATGTTACATAAACTATTAACGAAACTTAGGCTTATTCGTGATCTGCTTAGGGCCATTGATTGGCTTCGTCATATTTTTGTTCCACGCTTCTAGTCTTCGACGCTGTTCTTCAGTACTTTGTATTTCTGATCTTTGTTGTTGTTCACCGTGCCCATTTTTTTGTTTCTCTAACTCACTGAGAATAACATAGGTATGTTTTAGTAAAATGTCATTATCGACTTGAAATGTTTCTAGAGCAGCATCATCTATAGGAACATTCCATAAATCTGTTCGTTGTAGATAAAGTTCAAGTGGGCCATCTAGGCTCACATTGGCAGTGAGAACACGTACCATCAAGCGTTTGAGCATCGAAATCCAACAATCAATAGCTTTGAGTGATGGAGCAATAGTCTCTTTTTTAAATGTTGCACGACAGAATCGATCAACAACTTGTCGTCGTTCTTCATTGCTGAATGACTCTTCTTGAAGTTCTTTTTTGATATAAGTACGTAGAATCCGATCAAAGGCATTTTCTTCAAGTATTTCATATAAATCAATAATATATCGCAATTCAATCGTGGAAAATTGTGTTCGCGAAACAATATTATCGTTCAAACAAGCATATGTAGTAATATAACGATCGACAAATGATTGAATTGTCATATTCCTTGCTGTCTTGTCTACAACATCATTACCTAAATAGGTAAAAATGTAATCAAGTGAACCAAGATAATGGAGAACATCATCGTTAAACAGTCCATGAATAAAACGATATAATTTTGTCCGATCATCATTTGGTAATCGTTCTTGTTTGATGCGAGCACGTACATCATTGATTAGAGATGTATTTTCACCATACAATTCAAACTGATAAGTTAGAAAATGTATTTTATCCGTATCGATCAAAACTAAAGAACTGATCTGATTTCTAAGTGTTACTTCAATTTCTTCATAATCATAGATAGCTTCTTTGCCTTTTCCATATTCATAATTGAGAACAAGACTATCATAAACCAATTTTATATTCAATTCATTTCGATCATAACAAAAAATATGTTCTGGTCGAATTGATTGTAGCGGAACACATTTTCTACGTATCAATGTTTTACCTGCACATTCAATAGATTCGTCAAAATAGTTGACAATTTTGTTTTGCATTTCGGCAAGTGTTTTCAAACAAGCAAGAAGAAGAAAACTGCTATCATCTCTCGATTGATTCAATAGGAGCATCGCTAAACTAGTATTTTCGGCGAAGTCCTGTTTCGAAACATTTCGTTCGAATTTAGCCGATTGACAACCATATCGAAGTTCTTTTAAATCTAATACGTACCATGCATCTAGAAATTTATTAAAGAGTTTCTGTGTTATTTCTCGATCTTTGTCTGATTTTAAATAATAGGCAATTTTCTTTTCAATAGCATCAGATCGTTTAATTCGGTGATTGAATTTTTCAATAAGGTAATTAGTAAAATATACAATTGGATACAGATGTTTTATATTGGTATAATCATCTAGATGTTTAAGAAGAAATGTTGTAACTGGATAGATTTGTTCAGCATAAGGACGTGTTTCAAGTTTTAAGATGAATTCATCAAGTGGATTCGATGTATAAAACTTAGTTACATTGAAAAAATGCAAATGTGGAAATTTATCTTTGTCTTCGCATAGTTCGTCAATGATATTTTCTGATGATGATTCAGTGATATGATCTGTCATGAGTTCAACATAATCTGTCTTGTATTTGATAATTTCACTAGTTATGGAATTGATGTGTTCAAACAGGAGTTTCTGTTCGATCAATTTTTCGATTTCAATAACATTTTCATTTGTATTTATTAAGCCTTGCTTAGCGAAAGGCTCACTAACGAGATGACTAAGTAGTTTGTAGAGCCAAATGTAACATTGGTGACTATCTGTTGAAGCTTTCGCGAGTAAAGTGTAATCCTTTTCGAAATGATCACGAAAAAAAGTGATTGTTGGTAGTTTGAGATGCTCTTTGAGGTCGTTTTCAGTCAAATAGCTCTGATCGAATAAAAACAACAGGAGGCCATGTGTAAGAAAGTGAACAAAACGAAATGACAAAGGTCTATCTAAATGATCAGGTTTTTCGTACAAAGTACTCGTTTCTACCATCTTCACAACGTAATATCCCAAACGAGATGCTTGATTGTATCGATTGATATCGTCATTGGTTTTTTGAAGACTCTCAACTATGAGCATTTGATCTTGAGGAGAATCACTGACAGTTAAACCAGGCAAATAGATAGAAGAAAGATGTTGAATATATTTAGCAGGCATTTTTCGTTTAGCATCAAAGAGGATATTACCCAGAAGAGTAATTTCTGATCGTGATCTGAATGAAATAAAGACAGCTACAATATTTAAAGCGAGCAATCGTTTGTGAACTTCAAGTGGTGTCATATTAGGATGTAGTCGGAAGTAAGACTCATTTGAAAAATTCGAACATAAACAAATAATAAATTTGTGACCAAGTAATGTGAATGAACGAATTAAATCATCACGAAAATTATATTCGATAAGTTGACGGAAAGTATTGTCAATACTTGTATTCAGTAATGTAGTACGGTAGTAATATTGAATGAACCAACATAGACAAGCATAAGCTGATTCTTGTTTGGTGTCACATTCGGAAATTAATTCTCGAATTTGATTGATTTGATTGAATTCAATGAAAGCTTTTCTAAAATGTTTGAATGCAGTTCTACATTCAAAACCTGGGACTGGAAGAAAAACAAATTGTTGATTAATATTCCGAACTTGTGGGCTCCGTAAATATTGAAGAAATAGTTTGATCCATGAAACATTGCGATTAATGTAGACATCATGTAAACCATTTAGAGTGAATTCAGATGTTTGTAGAAGTTGTTTGAGAATAAATAATTTCAATGTTGAACCGAACGGAGTATTCGTCATTGTCAGAAAGCTATTGATACGATTCATAACCTCTCCTTTATTATCATTATGCAAAGCGAATGCATACATTTGAGCATAAAATTTTAACCAGGCGATACATGAAATGAACTGACCAGTAGGTAAATGATTTTGACTTTGAATTGCATTGAAATTTTCTTCAAAATACGGATAATATTCGTTAAGTCGTTCATCAATTTCATCCCCTTGAATATCTAACATCAAATGCATATGAATTCGATTCACCAGCAATCGTTGTATTTTCAATGGATCAGCCTGCATTTTGAGTGATTCATTAAAATTTGTATATTCATCACTTACAAGAAGTTTTCCATGATTTTCTTTCAATGTTGAAATTAATTTTAATTTTTGATCAATAATAATAGTAAAAATTCTCGCTGAATAACGCCAAAGATCATTCCTTTGTCCATTCAATAGTGTGAAAATGATACCATATAAATCGATATTGTCAGCTAACCAATGTTTTATAAATTCGATTTCAAGCTTGACTAATGCTTCATGAACAATATTTTTATCTACGGTGGAATGTTCTTGATTAATCTTAATTTCGAGATTTTTGATAAAATACCTAATTGACGAACAATCAGTGAATTTAGCATTCAAATCAGTCTTAGAAACATCTTTGAGAACATCAAGAGCTTTATCCGAGAGTATAGCAGTAAGGCAACGAACAAGACTGTTAAATGAGCGAAGTCTCTCGAGATTATTAACGCAATATGATGATAGATCAAAAATACCTTGTGCAATCAAACTATAGATAGTTATGATTTGCTGAATATTAATAGCATGATCAATAACAGAAGGTGAAAGAATATATTCAATTAAATTCATTAGACTAGTTTCAATTATTGGATTGCCATTGCATTCAAATTTCCATTGATCCTCAATAATCGTTGTTTTTGGTGGTAATTGATAGAATTGCTGATTGGCCAGGACAAGTGTATAAAATTCTGATGATTTGATCTGTCCTATTGGATTTTCAATGAATTGGTTACGAATTATGTCGAGAATATTTGTTTCACTAATTAATTGTAAACTAGTTTCGAATAAACGAAGAATATCTGTGAATTCGATATATTCAACTAAAAGCACTCGTTTATATTGTTTGAATGATCGAATCGGATTACTTGTTAATAATTCATAAACAAATTCCGGTGAAAGATGAATTTTTGTTTCAATTAAATGCATGAGAATTTGATCATGAAAATAAAATTCAAATAATTGTTCGTTATTGGCAATAAGTTCAATAAAATCTTCACCATAGAAACTCGATGTATGAACTTGATCGAGAAAATCATCAATTTTATCGGAAGAAAAATTTTTCAAATGTTCATATCTCTCTCGAATAGATTGAATAGTTTTGTATTCAGCTGCTGCACAAGGCAATTTGAGATCGAAAACAAGTGGAATTTCAATTATATCAACATTTATTCTTGTTACATCGATCTTTTCCAATGTTGATGTGAAACAATTTTCCCATAATTGTGATAAATATTTTTGAATCTTTTCGTCATGAACTTTAGTACTAAGAAAGATATGAGCATCAATGAGATTATATTTTTCAAGGTGAGCCAAAAGAAGAGACATATGAACTTCATAAAAGTTTGAAATAGTCGTTTGAAAAGCATCTTGAAATGAGCGAGAACCAGCAGTTATCAAACCATTTGTCAAAAGATCAAGTCGCCAATCCTTGAAACCTGCATTGGCAGGTAGTATGTTTTTTTCAATCAAGTTCATAAAGTACTTTTCCACAATAGAACGAAGATGAAGATTATTGATTGTTGAATTATCATAAGGTTTAATTAATTGTTCAAAATGTTCCTTACGTCTTTGGATAATTCGTCCTTCGAAATTTGTTTGAAAAACTCTATAGCGAAACTTCGATAGACTTTGATCAACAAGACGATCGAATGCACATCTAGATAAACGATATTTTGGTTGTAAAACAAGATTAAAATAAGAGGGATGTTCTAAGTTATCTCTTGAAATAAGTTCTCGATCATGAAGATCATCAATCATGTAAACAGACCAATCATTGAACAAGATATCATTGTTTACTTGATTAAGTAGATTACGTTGTAAATGAAATAAAATCCAGACACCTCGATTACTTTTTGATACATGTTGATTGAGTAGGATATGTTTCAATGAAAGAATATGCTGTTGTTCAGAATGATAATCGACTCGAATTAAGAGAAGACGTATGTTTGTTGATGCCTGATAGTGATGTTTAATTTTCTTTGTAAATTCAAGTTCTGTTTTGAAAGCACCTAGTTTGACTTCTTCGACGCTTGGTATTATATTGATCTGGTGAAAAATTTGAGTATATGTGTAAATTATCTTAGACTCAATCTGATTTTTCTCTAACGATTGTTCAATAAGTTTTTTAAAAGTGACTGATTGATGTTTATCATAATATTGGTTGATCAACATTTGATTGTTAGAAGTTGAATTTAATGAAAGAACTACAGGTAAATCGAAGGAACTTGTATGCATCAAATGTTCTCGACAATAATTAAGAATTGCTGCACCTTGCTCGTCGGTTTGTTGGTCATCGATATGAATATTTAGTTGTTCAAAAGCTTTAATAACAAGATTGCAGATTCTATCTGGACTATAATCGACGAACAAATGTTGTATGAGAGGAAAATGCTTGCCGAGATTTTTCGGTATGAGACTTTCAAGCCATGCATGTAATGTACGAGTTAATAATTGATGTTGTAGATGAACTAATGTTTGAATTTCAATATAATGTTTTTCGAAACGATTAAGAAAAGGTGGATCACATTTGTCCAAATCTTGTTTATGAATAAAAACAATACAATAAAAATTATCATTGATAAGACAACGTGGATGATAAAGTGGACCGAGTGCAATACGACAATATTGTTTTTTTGCTGAAACAGCATAATTTTGATTAAAAAGATCATAGAGTTTATCATAGAGATGACCCATTTGACGCATAATTAAAGTAACATTCATTTCAGCATAAAGAATAATATCCATTAAGATTCGATAATTATATTGTTCGGCATAGGTATTGCTAGAAAGTAAATCACCGGGAAATGAACTCCCTACAAGTGTGCGTATAGGTATGTTTTTCTTCTGTTGATGAACACAGATATAACGTTCAACATAATCAATCATACTTTCATTGTCAGCAATAAGCATAAGATATCGACCTGATCGAACGTCGAGAGCTTGATCAAGAAGAAAATCAAAAGTAGGACAACGATATTCATTTAAAAGATGTTCTTTATTGATATCGTAACAGAACTGTTGCCACAACAGAAATGAACTATCGAGTATACCATCGAAGTTAATTTTAAGTTGTCGCCGAATTATTTCATAAATTTTTGTTTGATCGTTTTCTGTTACCAAATCACGCATAATACCTTTGATGAGCGAATAGTAATCACGAAGACCAAAATAATTTTCATGATCGGGTTGCATGCCTTCAAGATTTGTACGAAGATCATGATAAGCTTTAGCAAGACTTTTGATAATATTTTCTTCATTTGGTATGTTTGATGTCATTGCTTGAGATATGGCTCTACCTGCTACAGATAAATCATTAATGTCAGGTTCAGGAACTGATAGATAGAGTGCACGATTCATTTTTGATGCGTCCAATCGCCAATTTGATATACCAACAAATCCAAATCCGCATACTTCTACTTCAAGTTCAGCATGTAGTACTTTGAGTGGATTGTGTGGTGATAGTTCAGCAAGACCAATTTCATCGAAGACGATCACAGGTAATAAGTCAGGAGTACCTTTTACTTGAGCGAATTTCGTAACATGATCAAAAACTTTAGTAACACTTTCTGATGTACAATTTTGTGAACCTTGAAAGGAGACTACTACAAGTTCAGGTAACTGTTGAAAGTATGTATCACTTGATTTCTTGCCTTTGAGATTATTAATAACAGTTTGGACTGCTAATGATTTACTACTTCCAGGTTTACCACACAAAAAGACAGGAATATGATTAAGAATGCAAATAAGAATAACGAAAATATTATCACGAATTACTTGATTAAGAGCTATTCCCGGCGGTAAGTTTTTCATCCTTTCATCGATTAATCTCTTTTGCTCAGACTCGAGGATGTTGTTAAGAGAAATATTGGGCTCTTCAATAAGATGTCCTATAGAATTTTTCATTATATATTCCATCTTGTCTATATAGATTTGTCGTAATTGACTTGAACGCGACCGGAAGTAATAACAAAGCATCAGTGCAAGTAAACTCGCTCGGAGAGAAAGTTTATGAGGTTGATCTTTGTAATCACGTTGAGTCAATGAGTTCAGAAACCAATTATAAAGTCGACAAAAACGAGCAATGTCACGCAAACTTACACTACTTACATCTTCAAGCTTACGATAGTGATCATGAGACTCCACGAGCATATTAAGAGTAAGATTCAACAATACTGAATTTGACGACAGATCGCAGCATGTGTTTAGCATCGTTCTGATGTAGGCTCTCTCAGTAGACTCATCTAGATGACCGTAGTTCCAGATATATTCAAGCATTGTTTCTGGAATAGGTACTACTGTATATAAAAGACGTTGATTAGCTAATTTCTGCATCTCATAACGGTTTTTACGTAGACCAACTTCAGGATCATTATTTAGCTTAATTCGATGTGTTCTTTGGCGAAGAGGATTGCAAGCACCCAAAAATACTATATTGGATGGTAATATTTCGCCAAGTAATGTTCTATCGCACATAATTTCTTTTAAAAGACCAATATTCGTCGTTGTATTAAATTCATCAAAAAAAACCCATAAGCGCTTTCCTTGCTTCGCACATTCTTCTGCTTGAATAATGTATTCTTGAATTGTTTTGACGATTTGATCTGCTGTTACTCCTGCATGTATTCGAAAAACTTTTAATTCATCATCTAAAATTTTCTGACATAGAAATTGAATCAATGTCGTTTTCCCACAACCTAAAACAAAAGTTGTTTTTTTTTCAATAACCTATATTAACATAAGTTCTTAACTAGCCTGTTTCACCCATGATCAAAACTGCAACACCACTCTGTACTCGCATATAAATAAGAAGTATTTTCATAAAATTATCCGGTGTAAGAATATATTGCTTTTGAAGTTCTTTTGCAACGAGAAGTTGAAATTGTTTAACATCTTCACCATCAAAAGATTTGGGTCTCTCAAGTTTATTTTTGATCACTGTACATTTTGTATTTTGACATTCTTGTTCTTGAAATTCATATTGTCGAAAACATTTTAGACAAATTGATTTATTAATATATTTTTGTAAAAGTGAAGTTAATTTAATGAATAATTGAGCATGATCAAGCTTTGCATAATCTGGAAACATGCTGCTTTCATTCATTCTGTCTTGTTTCAATACCTTATAGTAAGCCTTAAAATAATCTTTTAATACTTTGGGTACATTAGCTGGACTCTTGTAGACAAAGAGTGGTTCATGTGTAGACGTGAAAAATAGTGTAAAAGGTTGAATTTTATCCCATCGAAGAATGGCATCGTCAAGTGAAATAGTTTTATCAGTGATAGCTGCCTCCTGTTGTTTGCGAACGGCGTCGACAGAGAGTGAAGTAAATTGGTTCGAACATGCAAGCAGAATTCTAACAAGATCCATCCGAAGTTGTTGGTTTGGAATATACTCTTGTCTAAAGTAACCACAATATGAGAAGCTTGTAAATAGATGATTAAAGACGGCAACAAATATTGATAGTTGTGTCCAATTGACATGATTAGAATCTTTACTTGAAAGAAAATAGCTTGAAATAAGGCGAGAGCATATGTTTAAGTCTAAGGATGAGAATGTTGACGGGTCAATATTTTCTTTGATGATTGTTCCACTGTCGATTGCTTGTAAATATTTGGCTACTGTCTGAATTTTAGGATCTGTGATATTAAGAGTTTTCCATTCGATCTGATCGAGCGTTATTCGTCGATTAACATATTTAAATAATGTTAGTGGAGTCAGTATTGATTCAAGTGATATACCTAATTCGATAAACACAGAAGTCTCTCTTGGAATGGAAGCAGCTACTTGTTCAAATCGAAAACTTCCAAAAAGAAGAAGACAATAGAGAATTTGATTCAGTTGTTGAATATTATCAATTAAGCCAATATCAAAATGAATTGCTCCTGTCTTTAATTGAGAAAATTTCGATTGTAATCGTTCAGCTAATGTATCAGCATCAAAATCACCATAAATCGGAAATTTAATATAGTTCTTTTTTGATAGTTCAATTTCATGACGAATAAAACTTGATTTACCTAGACCAGCGATTTTTGATGTTACAATTGTACAGTTTTGAATTAATCGATAAATATTCTTTTGTAAATCAGTATTATGTAAAAGTTCTTGATCACGTAAAAGCTTGAGAATTTGCATTGACTGAAGACCATTAATTAATTGTTGATTTGTTATTGTAGTTGTCGTAATAATACCTAGATGAAATTTTTGTTCAGAATTATGTTCACGTAAATCACACAATAAACTAACAAATTGATCTTGAATTGCTTGTGAGAGAATTTCCGGCTGAATAAGTATTTGTAATGATTGCGAATAGAAACAACGATAAACAAATGCACGAATTTGAATCCAATCGGTATTTTTTGTGCAATAGAAAATATGATGGACATATACTGGAGTTTTCATCAAAGCACATAGTGACAAAATGGCACGAAGAATACCTTCAGGAGTTGTTTCAATGAGTTGAGCTTTTTCTAAATTAGAACATATTTTATGACATTCATGCTCCTGTTGCGAGAGTAAATATCCAAGATCATCCAATCGATCTTCAGCATTGGATCGCCGTTTAGATGGTTGCTCAATTGAGTCTGGATTAATACCAATGTATTTAAGAAGATGATAACCTGGATGAGACACTGATTGCCTATGATAGATATAATCTTCAATTAACCAAAATTGATTACATGAAAAATATGTCAAATCAATGTGTTTTTTATACATCGCACATAATTTCTTATCCCATTCATTGAATAAATTAGTTAACTTGATATCATTCTCACACAGATTGTCATATTCACCATCAATACATGAAAATGAAAATATATTTTGCTTTTTATGATAAGTAAACTCTGAAAAAGATAGATGACCTGTCACGTATAACATTTTCAAAGTTTCTAAAGTTGACTCGATAACATCGACAAATCGAATAAAATTACGCAAATTTTCTATATCATTTTCACTATTCATACTAGACAAATTACGTTTACTGATATTGCTTGAATATTCAAGTAGACGAACTCGATCACGTAAATCACTCAAATCAATAAAAGTGATTTTGGAAGTTTTCGTTTCAACGTTACTGCTTATCTTTTGACTTTGAAGTCGAACATTTACGTCAAATATACAATCATTATAAGCAACATAACTAAAATCAACGATTGAATTTCGTAAAATATCAGCGATTTGACGTCGTTTAGATTTTTCTTTATCTGTTAATTCCAAATGAATACGTGTAATACTTGACATCTCATCTGAAGATGATTCAATACATTTGAAAAGATCATTAAATTGTTCATTATTTTTTATATTTTCGAAACATATGATAATATGTTCGAGTTGCAATGGTGTATCTGCCAATTCTTGACGTTTGATTCTGATTGCTTCATAAGAACGATCAAGAAAATTCTTCACAGTAGCAATATCAAACATGGTCTTGGTATTCACTAGTGTTTCATCCCAATCATTGACAGCTTCTTGCAAATTACAAATATCGTAGGTTGTAACTGAATGAAGAAAGTCAAATAAATGCGATGCCGAACTATAATAAGAGATTAATTTTAGGATATCGGTTGAAAATGGTACGTCAAATCTATTTTGATATTGTTCATATATTGAAGCGCATTCGATGATTGACGTTTCTTCTTTGATATGATAAACATTATCCAAGAAGTTTGAATCAATCTGAAAAGAAACTTTCTTATTCAAATTTATCAAACCCTTGCAAGTATGCTGAATACGAGAACGATTCGTCCAAAATAAAATAATTGTATCAATTAATGATAATGATGTTATTTCAAGTAAATTTTTCAACAGGTTTACATCATTTTTAGCTTTTTGTTCATCTGGAAATAGTTGAAGAATACATTTGATAGGACTTCGTTCGTCGTCACATACATTTTGTAATAAACTTTGAAATGTTTTAAGTTGTAAAATTGTAAAGTAGAGTATTTCAATACATTTACTTTTCGATATAATTCCTATAAAATACATTTTAGAAGAGTATTTTGTGTAGAAATATACCACGAATGCAAAAATCTGTGATAAAAACTCTACGCTCACCTTCTAAAAGCATATATTTCGAGATTGGCATCGATTTTGGCAGTTTTTCTATTAACAATAACATCCTATCTAAAAAGAATATTAGATGCGAGATAGTAATCCATAAGGTAATATTTTCAATACAAAATTTACCATGCTTTTTCATTTTATTAAACAGAAAAATTCGCCACGCATGAACCTTTGTATAAGGATTTAGTTTTCCGGCATACAGTATGATATTCATTAGAAGTGGTGACATCCTTATCAATCGAACATCTGTTTTTTCAAAAAGTTTATTCCATTCTCTAATTTCTTGCACATATGTATCGTAATCTATTCCTTGTTGACAGTAATTGTCTAGACATGTAGTTATTTCCATTATCAGTTTCAAAAGATTGTTCTTATTCTGCACGGCATCTTGCAATACTTCATCGAATTGAGATTTTTTATTTTTCACTTCAGTTACTAAAGTCCATATCTTACGAACAACATCTTTTTTATCTTCAGACAATGCTTCCCATGTCCGTGCATCTTTAGCGAGTATACCAGCTCGTAGCCATGCCTTCCAGTAGTTGTCTAAGCGATGTATAGTTTTCTGATGAATCGGTAGTGAACTGAGAGATTTATCGAACAAAATGGCAAATAAACAAGTAGATCTTAATGGCTCATTGAAAGCATCGTGAATGATTTCATCGTCACTGAATTCAATCATGGATGCGGCATGCTCAATCAATTTCGTCACAAGTACATTCTTTCTGTTTTTCTCTTTATTCATCTTGTCTATATCCATTAAATTTTTCAAAGGATTGTTGAAGCCATTTAAATCCTTAAGAAGTTGTTTGTTTTTTATTGATTGGTATTTGGAAAGTTCAATTACAAAAGCATCAATAAAATCAGAATGATTGACTTCATGTAAGCTTTCTCTTAACAAGGCAAAAACATCTAAAGAATTAAGCAAATGTGATTATGAATACTTTTAATAAATACTTGTTTTGTAAAATTTAACTTTCAATATCTTCAGAAAAATTTATATTTGTTTAAGATATAAATATGTCCTCATTCTACATGTAGCGATCCTTCTCAGATGATTGCGAGCATATATCGTAAAAGCATAGTTAATTCATCTGAACTAGTATCTGAATATTTTTAGTCAGAACTTCTGTTAAAAATAAAAGATGAAAATGATCGATTTTTCTTCTAAGCATTATGTATAAACAGGTATCGTATCAAGAAAATAGTAGGAACAGAAAAAAATGCTCTTACCCTGATTGAAACATTGTTCGATCATATGTTCAATAAAAAAATTACAAGACTGAGCATTGTTTACTGTAGCTTTTGCCCAAAGTTGGATGAGATTATCTGTATGATTAATGATATTGAAGAATATGTCTCGATTATCAACGAAACACTTTGTCCATTCTTTAAGTAATTTATTATAATCCATCCAATTTGAAGGTGATGTACAAAGCAAAAATTTGAACCAATTGAGAAAATATATTATTGTACTATCATTTCGTTTGATTAATGTTTCTAAAATAAATTTTCGACGATCAATACCGTACAACAAAGAATCATTGTAACAATGAAAAATAATATCACTAATAAGAGGAAGATCATTTAAGGAAAATTGATTGTTATTATTCTTGAAATATTGTTCGATCTCGGTTCGCAATCGATCACTTTTTTCAAAAATGCATTGAATTTGTCGAATCACACCTGAGTTATTGCCGTTATCTTCTGGTTTTGCTTGATTTTTCAAATAGCGAAGAACGAATGCAACATCCGAAAGTTGTACTTAACAGTAATTATCAAAAATAAACTTTTAGAATCCTTATTTATCTCATACGATTTCTTACTTGTAAAATGATTTTCTTGTAAAAGTCTGTCAAGATAACTGGAGACTTCTGAAACATATTCATAATCATTTACGTCGTGAGTTTTGAAAAGATAAGATAGATAAGCAATACAGGTTTCGAGTGAACCAGCCACATCTAGATGACCTAATGTAAGTTGAGCAGAATCAATAAACTTAAAGAGATTCATTTCTGTGTTTTCAAACAGTGTAAATTTTAAATCACGGAGTAAATTAAGAAGATCGAATGCGACGTCGTGCTGTCGATTTTTTACAGTGATCATTGACAGTAATGTGATAGGATCTGTTCTAACACGTGTGTGTTTTTTATAAAACGATTGGATGCAGAGCAATGTTACCAGACCTGTCTTAAACGATGGCCATTCTGCCTCATCCGTTATTTTCAACACTGCATCCAAATTATTTGATAATTTGTTAAGCACAACTGATGTAAAGTTCCAAGCTAGACTTTCTTTGATAATCATATTGTCTTGATTGATAACTAAAGGAGAAATCATACGAACAAGAATCTTGAGCGCAGGAAAACTTTCGCTGAGATTATTTTCAATCGATGCTATATTATTATGACAAATACAAAAGAATTCGATTAAGTGTTCGCGTGATAAGCTTGTCCTCTCTGAAGCAGCGATTTTAAATTGGTCGAGTAAAGAGTTAAACTCTTCGTAGGCCTTCCATAGAATGATGAAATATGTAAAGAGGACGAGTTCTCTCCAAATTGACGTTGTTTGGTCTAAATGATCGTAACAATAACAAGTGGTAAGATCAAATCACATTACTTTCATACTAGCAACATGATCTTCGTATTTGTTTTTTACATGAACATCAAATAAAAATTGTTCTAATATTAAAGGATTGCACACCAAATGACGTGGCATATTCTCTCTACCATTACCACTTGATATTTGAAGTTTATAACTATTATTTAGAATTCTACGCTTATTATGATGAATAAAGACCTCTCCTCTATCATTTTGATAAACTTGCAGCATCAGTTTACAAATAAATGGTCGTAATTTATTTTTGGATGTATTAGCTGAAGGATTGTTCACTCTATCCTAGAATAGAAGATCATTTCATGTTATGGAACTATCCAGAAGAAAAATTTTGTAAAGCATAATAGAAGATCATAGACTTGCTATAGTATTTTTACAGAAACTCAGTCAATGTGTGAGATTTTAGCACTTTAAAACTTAACTTTGGGGTAAAAAACGAGTTTCTCCTATGAGAGTTCATTTCTCTTTCTTAAAAAACCTAGTTTTTCAATAATCGATTGCTAAAGCATCTATCTATTTAAATATTGAAAAAGCGTTTCAAAAATTCTTGATTTTCTAAGTGAATATTCGCAACAAGTTAGTCCTCAATATAAAGCTATCTTTGAGAAAGCAATGCAAATTTCATTAAGAAAAAGTCATAACCTTCCATTTTGTGTATAAGAGTGGCTATTCTATTTGTAACAGAATAGCGGTATTTTCTGAATCGATCTTTGATTTTAATACCTATTATCTCAAGTTCATTTGTGAAAAAAGAAAAATATAAAAATTTATCGAAACATAAGTGAACCACTTTTAGGTTAGGGTATGATAACTAGATTGACCCATGGACGTACTAATGATTGAGTTTCCTTAAAGTCACATTGTATGTTGTATTCGAAGACAGCTTGAACTTTCAAATCCTCCTTCGGAGCAGCAAGATATACAGCATAGAGTGTAACTGGATATAGCCTTGGGGAAGCTTGAGGAAGTGCCATTAGTTGAATAAAAATTGATCAGCAGAAATACAATCGGTGTGTAGATAATCTTTGAAAGTTGCTGTAATTGTTATATTGCTGGATGATGGCCTATACAATAGAGAAAATAGAATTTTATTAGTGATGAGTGTCGGTGTGTTTGTGAGAATCTTTTATTTCTACCTACAACAATACGTATATGTATAAAACACAAAAAATTAATTATAATTTTTTTCATCTATTTGGTAATAATTTATTGATCATATCATACACCCTCAAAAATCGATCTTAGTCCCGAAAACGTCTTAATTGACTCAAATTTTCAGAATATATCGAGATGGTAATGAAAAGGCTATGGTAAAATTTTCTGCCCGATATCATGACCGTTGACAGAGATATTCACCAAAGAAAGTTTCTCTATCAATGCTCGTATGTCATATTTATTATTTTCTTATTAGAAAGAACATGTCGAGATGCAGTGCCGCACGCAGTCCTTTTCTTAAATATTTACTTTTTAAGCAAAAAAAAGGATGACAAAATCGATGCATGAAAAATTCTTCTAAAACAATGGCGTCGTTTCTATAACGACGTTCTCGTATATGATAGTACAAAACTTTATCTCAAAAAAAAGGATTCTTTAGTGTACTGTATATTGTCATGCTCTCTCTAAGAATAAAAAAACAAAAATCAATTTTATATGAGCCTTGACGGAATAATCGTGTTTTCTCCATTTGAAAAAGCATAAAATGGAAAAGAAAACGAAAATTTCCGAAAAATTTTCACACAAAGGTGCGCTATCTTTGCATGCATTTATGTCAATATCAGAATTTCTAATGAAAATAGACTTTTTTGAGGGATGCGGAGTACAAAAATTTTCTAGCAGTCGAAGTTGATAAATTTCTGTCTTCTAAATCAATCAGATTTCACCGGAATGGGCAGGATAATATCAGGAAATATTCAGGATTTTTCCAATATTTTAGGGCCGATTTCTACCAGAAAGAAAAATTGACTGGAAATGATTGGAAAATTTCCAGTCGGACCATTATTTCCATAGTCCAGTGGTGTTCCATCAGAGGCGGCGAAACGTTTTGAAATGAGGTGAGACCAAGGGGGGAAAAGCGCGACTCTATGTACTCCAAAAAAAAGTTGGAGTACAATTGGAGTACGATTGGAGTACCATTGGAGTACCAATGGAGTACCATTGGAGTACAATTGGAGTACCAATGGAGTACCAATGAAGTACCATTGGAGTACCAATGGAGTATGTACTCCTGAAGTCGCGCTTTTTCCCCCTTGGTTTCAAGGCATTCAGATCGTTCAGAAAGTAGAAAAACGTCTGACCGTAGGCTTTTGGGATTTCATTGAGCAAAACTAGAAAACTAAGAATAATTCGATAAAAATGTAGTATTAATACTGTATTACTGCAATAAACTGATTAATTTAGCAAAGACTACTTGAGAACGACTACATTCTTGCCCAAAAGATGGTCTTCTACGATGAGAAGGTCAATATACTATTACGTCTCCATTATTTCGTAACTTCTATTATTCTGTATATCTTTTTATTAACTGTATCTCTGATATATCACAGGCAAGAAACATTAGTAGGTAGATAATTGATATGACGATACAAATAGAAAGTGAATGAAAGTGATATATGGCACCGATAGACAGAAAAAAAAGATCAATAATCCTTTTGCTTTTTGTTTAGTTTTATCGCATGTTTGGTACTTGTGTATTTAGAACTGTAATTAAATAAATTGATTGCAGTAGTGAACCGGTTTCCAAAATAAAGAAAGTACCCAGAAATATTGGTAATTATGCATATTATAGAACGCGAAATTATTATATAATCTCCATCAACGTCAACTCTACAGTAACTATCTGGTATTTTAGGGTTATAATATGGGTAATTACCCATATATCTAGCCAGAGATGGGCAGCTCCGACTTCGGAGTGGCCGCTCCATGAAGCGGAGCGGAGCGATTCATGAGAATTGTGGAGCTGGAGCGGAGTCGAAGCGGTATTTTTTTAACTTAGAGCGGAGTCGGAGCGAACTTTTTTCTCTAGCTCCAACCATAAGCTCCTTTTTTTCGTTTTTGCCATATAAAAAAATTAGGAGGAAGATCGGATAATCATCTTTGAAAATAATGTTGGAAAATCGATAGAAGTTGTTTATCTTCTGATTAGATATTCGTCAAAAGTAACAAAGAACTTAGATTTTCATAGATAACTTCGCTCGACTCAATTTTTATTGTATAAAATTCAATAAAAAAAGATAGTTTCGTATGAATTTTTATGTGTAATCTGTAAAACACATTCGTCTTATTAGCGTCGATATGCATCGATTGTAGTCGACGTATGTCGATCGAACAAGTTTTAATCGAAATTGCGTGGACTTACTCTAAACTGAAAGAAACTGATCGAAATTCTATCAGGAATATTCATCTTTTAGAACTATTTTTGATTAAACGTGAATGAAAGGTTTAAGATTTTTAAGCGTTTTAATTTGACTTGTCATTTTTTACATAAGTTGCCTTTCATGAGGTGTCCGAAGAACTAACGAGGAAAAGGCTTGCCATTTATTATTCACTGTAATGAATATGTCATTCTTACATTTTTATCAATGATAATGTTTGAAATAATAGTTGACCATTCATTGAGTCAATTGTTCTGTGTTTGATTCTGGCTCTCGAAGAACCTGCTCTCAACGCTAACTTTATTAAAATGTAATAAACAACTACTAGAGCTGGCTAGTCTATTTTCCATTGTAAATAATCCCCGTATTGTAATCAAGTCAGCTAAAATATATTGACCATTGTTTTTTTTATTAAATATAGCGACATTTGCTTTTGTTCTTAAAATAACTTAATGATTTTTTTCTTAAATTATTTCATAAGTTAGTTTTCTTAAATATATTGAACCTCTTTTTTCTATATTGTATGTGTGTATGTTTGTCTAAATATCGAATTAAAACAAGAAATTCACCTAATAGCTTTAAGATGCCAGAAACCTAGGAAAAAAAGCCTTTTTGTTACAGTGGAGCTGGAGCGGAGTCGGAGCGGCTTATTTTTATTAGGATCGGAGCTAGAGTGGAGCTGGAGCTGAGCTGGAGCGAGAAATGATCGGAGCTGCCCATCTCTGTATCTAGCAGATTTTGTTGACGGCTGTTTGAAGTTTGGAAAATTGCTTTCTCATGATTATAATTACAGAAATTTGTACTAATTTTCTGTTGACACTTAATGATGTCCTGAAATGGTATTAAAGAAATTAAATTGTTTTCAAAAATTTCCTTTTTGGGAAATGTGAACATTTCTTGTTGATTATTGGATGATTCTCGTTACAGCAAAGTAACTTCAGGAATATTTATGTTCTCTTAAGTCTTTTCGAAATATAATAAACGAAATTTATTTTAAGGGTTCATCTTACTGTGAGTAAACGTCGTTGTATTTATTGCTGGTTATTCTGTCTTTGATATAAATTGTTGGTACAAGTCCAATAAAATAAACAGTATTATTGAGTCTATGTGTTCACTTGAATAGTACGGTATTAACGTTTATGGATGGAAGCTGTGTTGATGGATTATAGAATATATTTCGAAGTTAATACTAGTACGATCTGAAGATGATAAAAGTAGATCTTTAAATAACCTTGCATATATAAGTGATGCTGAGGTTTCAATTAAACTCAAGATACAAAACAAGAAAAGAAAAGAACAAAAGCATGATTAAAAAACAAATATTGAAATCTCGAAGAAGAACTCCGTGAAAATCTTTTATTTTCTTTGCTGCTGTATAAAGTCGGAAAAATCCTATAGCAATATTGTATCGCGTTCTTTCATGTGATCAAGGTATTCTTTTATTCATTGTCATGATAATCCAAATCCCCTAACTGAAGAAGTATATCACCATATTCTTCATCCTTTATGTGTTGTATAAGTCCAGCACCTTTCTTGGCTTCGGTTAAATGTTCTATACGTTGTTTCCATCCATGCTTGGCCTCTTGTTCTTCTGATTCAATGATTAGATCTATATAATTAACAATGGTTAATGGATTGGGTTTTAGTGCGATTTGATCTAGCCGCACAATAGCTTCTCGTGCACAATTAATCATACCATAGACTTTGATTTTGGTTTTCCTAAAATCATTTTTCAATCCTTCGCATATATTTTGTATTGTTTCACTATCCGTCTTTGCTGCAAGATATCGTTGTCTCATATCTTCGTTTGTTCTAATTTCATCTTCTTGATATAATGTATAACAATAGCAATTATTAATATGTGAATTCCAACTGCACTTATCTGGACAAACAGTACATTGTGCATTTTGAGGATCTTTCCTATTCATCGCATCACAACGATATTTTTCTTCATCTTTCACTATACCACACGGATAATGACAAGTATAATTACATCGAAGACAATTTGTAACATATGTACCTTTTGGTAAATCTACTTTGTGTTGCTTCGTCACGGATATTGTATAAGTAAACAGCTCATTTTTTAATATATTATTGCTATGTTCTTTGAAAACTTGCATTTCCTGTTTTAGTTCTTCCAATTTGCCGAGTGCAATTTGCATTTGCTGTTGAATACCTTGAACATATACTTCCAATCGCTGTCGTTCATTTAACACTTCTTTTGTTAATGTCAAACTTATTGCTTCAACTTTTGAAAGCTCATTAAAAAAGTTTTTCAAACTTGAAATACCAATTTTCCAGAACATTTCATCGATATTTATATTCTCTTCATCATCATTCACTTTATTTTTAGCAAACAATGCCGAGTTATTAAATTTAAAATGTTTTATTGATGGAACATTTACTTCTTCGATTGCTTTAAGTACAGGTGGAACTTGTCCATCAGCAAATGTTATTATAGAAAACATATTTGATGAAACATCATTACCAAATATAGATAAAATTGATTCAAAGATATATTTTTGTGTTGGAGTTAATCGATTAACAGAATTTTGTATAACAAAACCAATAGCATCAAGATGATCAATACCATTTGGACCATTAATCTTAAAAAATTCTCGAATTTGACTCATTATTTCAGCATCTCTTTTAATACCTTCAACATCACCAAAACCAGGAGTATCAATAATAGTTAATGTATATAATACAGGGTGGTAAATAATATTATTCCAGGGGGGTAACAGTATGATCTCGAATCGGAGATATCATGAATTTTATACCAAATGAAAGCCCGTGAAAAATGGGGTTTAGTGATAGTAAATAGTAAGACTTTGAAGAACTTTCGTGTACCAAATTTTTAAAAACAACGAAATTTTCTTTCAAAAACACGTTAAAAATCATTTTTCATACATTTTGAGACATTGANCATGCAGAAAGCAAATTGCCTAGATATGTCTCAGTTGATAAAAAACAAAGTGAATATACCTCTTCACTTTTTGAAGTACACATAACACTCGGATTTAAATCCGATGTTTTCGCATTTATTTTATTTTGAAATGGGTATTAGCTTCGTTTGACCTTTTTCTCTTTAAACGTCCGATGACTAAGAAGGATGTATGAGTACTGTGAGACCGTTTCCTAGTTACATTATGGTTCTAGTTCCTTTCTATTAGATGATTAGAATCAATAAAAATATGCTTCATATCGTTTAATGCAGTTATACTTATATTTATTTAGGATAATTCTTGCATTCTGTATTAAATTTATTCAATAAGTAAAGTTCAGTGTGCTTGTGTCGATTTTTTAGATGGAGAATATATATGTATATAAACATTTCATGCTAGTCGAATAGACAAACTAAAGAATGGATGACTTAATGACATTTCTCGCATCGTCCATTTCAATAATGTGATTAAAAAAATAGAATGTACGTATCGGTAAAAAGAGAAGAAAAAGACGTGCAAATGAACGAGCGAATAATTATGCGCAGTCATAAAATTATATTTATTAGTTTCTCAGGTCGATGATTCTGATGAGTGAATCCAGCCCGAGCCGGTCGAAAATGTCGTATTTTCCAGCGTATTCCTATCGGTTTCCAGTGTCCTTCCCCCTCCCCCCGGAAACGGCTGGAAAGATACCGAGTAGATGGAAGCAGTAATCCTGCCAAAAATCACTGTATCGGGAAACCGTATCTTCCAAATGATTCCGCATTATGGAATAACAAGGGAACTATACGATATCCCATATGAAACACACAGACATGTGCTAGTTTCCCAACGGAAATAAACGAGAAACCAACGGTTTTGGGGGGTGTGTGTTGGTATTCACATTAAAGACTAAAACACATACACCAACACACCTACACACAAACTCACATCCACACCCACCCACACCCAAATCTGAGAGACAATTCAATCGAAAGAATACTTTATTCAAAATTGTGTTGGTGTTTCAATTTGAATAAAGAGAGAGAGACTTGATCATTAGTCACTTGTCAATCGTACGAAGAAATATAACAAATAGTCGTCCGAGGCGACAAGCATTAAGAATAGTGACAACATGGCAATTATAGACGTCTTGAAATCATGGACGATAAGAGTAACATAGCAGTCATGATTATCATAGTTCTAAAATATCAAGTGCAAAGTGCAAGCGATGTGTCTAAATTTACATACTTGTGTATTGTCAAGCCTAGTAAGGATTTTAACAATGATCATCGATAGTTTATAAAAATAATGACTCAAAATAATTTATTCAGCGTACCTGTTGATGTCGAAGAACATGTAGTGTTGTCAATCAGGGCAAATTTTTGAACTCGGTGATTGTAACGATCAGTGACGAAAAGATTACCTTCACTATCGAATGCCAATGCCACTGGGTTCTTTAATTGAGTACTTGCATTGCCATAACCTATTGTTATACATAACCATAAACTCGATAAAACAACAAATACTTCTCTATTTTTTATCTCATTTCAGATTACTATCGAATAATATCTGAAGGTGCTAAAAGCTCTTGACGAAAGATGTGACTCCGTGCAGGTACAATACTGCTTCATAAATTTCGGTTAATGTTCTTTTTTTGATGAGATAAACATTAAAAAGCGTACCAACTCCACCAATAATTGTATCACCCTTCAACGCTCCTGGAAGTCAACGTTGAATTCGTCCATTGTATCCATCAGCAATATATAATACACTAGTATCGATGTCAACAAACACATCTTGAGGGGAGTATAACGATGCAGCATCATGTCCATAACTACCATTGCTTGAACCAGCCACTGTGATTCCTTCTTGTGCATTTTTCAGCCATTTTTGGATACGATTGTTCCAGGTATCAGCTACATATACTGTACCACTAGTTTGATCGACAAAGATGCCGCTAGGACCGCAGAAATGTTTGCTCGTCGAATTACATTCTTTTGGCTTACCAGCAATGACTATACTGTCATTCATTCCTGGTGACTCTTTAATTAAAATGTCTAATAGCCAATCCGTCAAAAAGACACTTTTCTCTTTGTCAATCGAAATACCCCGACAAGAACTGAATTTATCACCTAATGATACACCAGACGGTGCTCCTACGACCCATTGAACGCCACAATATAGCGGATATGAGTCTGTGGCATAGATGGTTGAGACGTTTTCACCATCGTCGACATAGATTCGACTAGGATACCGTAAATTAGGTATTACAATGGTGCTGATGTTCGACGATTGATCGAGTAAAAAACTTTGAATGCGCGAATTAAACGAATCAACCACATATAATGTATTAGTTGGTTTATGAATAAAAAGCCCTTCTGGATAGTCGAGTTGATTGGAACCATTTCCAGCCGTACCCGTTCCGGCTATGGTTGTCCCTACTATGTTCCATCGTGCACAAGGACTTATCGCTGACATGGAGTACTGCACGATAGTAACTATGAATATAAATAAAAACGGTTTTCTTCAGTTATTGCAAAACTTACTCATTAATATCAGAACATAATGCATTTTGACAGACGAAGAATATGAGTAGCAAGAGAACGGCAAATGTGCAGAGTGCATACGTATCCTCTAGATTTATAGCACATGAATAGAGTAGGCAAACAGAGATAAGATGTTCGTAGCTGCTTCAACCTTACTTTCGTTGTTTCGAAAAAAAATGACAAACATTCTTCTTTACGTCAAAATCCTATTAAATTTTTATTCATAGCAACATCAAGGTCAGAATGATTAATATCATGCGTATGTTCTGACATATAGAGTTGCGAACAATTTACTTTGTTTATCGCTCTATCGATCTCAAGAATTTGGACAGCATTCATTGTGAAACTGTGTCATTTGATTTTCGTCAAGTCGAAGACAAATATATGAAAAAGGTTGAAGAGTCTTCTCTAGTTATATTGATTCGTGATGTCTTGCGTTCCTTATCAGATCTTAATCGAATTTGACTACACACTTCCCATACCATAGCCTAGTGCTATGTGTAGGAAATATAGAATAATCTAGTGTGAATTTACCTTGTTGCAAGAATTTGTCAACGTATTGCAGAACATTTTCAATAGAAATTCGTGTTTAACGGTAGTTATAATCGAAGTAGTTGTTGAAATCGAATTGTTCCATCAAATGAATAATCACTAGTGAATTGGAAGCTTACTAGCCACTATTCATTGACATTCGATAGTCTCCGATCCAGCTTCTCTATCATTTGAACTGATCGAAGGGAACTGCTGCTGTCAAACCGATGACCGCTTCTATGTCTCTTTTTGTTGTGTGGGTGTGAATCTGGGTCTGGGTGCCGTTCCATTTGAATCAATCAACACACCCAGACCAACACCCATGCCCACACCCACACCATTCTTGCGTTCACATAGCTCATTCATCAGTTCGAATACGTCTAATAAGATTAGATAAGGACCGAATGACGACATTCCTGCTTGTAGGAACTCGTAGGCTCAGTAGGTAGGTACTGTGAAAAATAGGTCGGAAAGGCAGGCATAATGAGGTCGGTGGCAAAGAATTGCATCCGCTAAGGAGTTGTTGGCGCACCTCCTACCCCATGCCTAAGCAATAATGCTCGCAATTCCTAAATGATCAGGCTGCTAGTCTACAAAAGCCAGGATGCTTGACATGCTGGTCTTAAGAAAACTTTGCATCGTACATCATGCTGCATTGCAGTCGAAGCGAGAGAAATCTGGCAGAGGTATCGCTTACTAACCCCAGTGTGCGTTTGAAAATGGCTCCAGCGATGGAGTAGTTGCCTCCAAGGTGCTCCATTATCAATCATTGAAAAAGAAAGAGAAAGTATAATACTAGTCGTTTGGAGAGAACGAAGGAAAAACATGAAAATATACAAGCATAGTCAATAAGAAACATGTCGACATCGGCATTATTAAAATGTAACAATATTTCGGACGTGGTTTTGTTGCATTTATTTTGCTGACATTTTCATCACAAAAAATATTCTATCTCTTACATTTTACAGGATAGGTCTGGGTGAAGGTGTGTGTATTCCTTCCATTTGCACCCACACCCACTAATGTAACGAGTTTCGTAGGTGTGGATGTGTGGGTTTGGGCGCTGGTGAAGTTTTGCTTTAACCCATATTTACTTACCCACACCCATCCACCAACACTAACACCCACACCCACCCACACCCACACCCCCATCTGACTTTTCGAAACATATTTAACTCAAGTGTTCCTCGTACCTTATGAAATAAGTTGATTCTTTTCATTTACTGATAAAAAAATGAAATTTTTGTGCGAAACTATGATACGAAAGATTATATAGGTGATTTCCTTTTTTTCAGTGGATATGAAACAAATTCATTATCTCCTAAAATCAGTCGAAGTATTGAATATTCCATAATATATATTAAGTGCAAAGGTAATTCAAAAGGACATATATACAAGAATATAGTTTAGATTTTAGATACTTTTTGTACTACATTAATATACATTAGTTATTCTTGTTTTACAAATGTCTGCGAGAAATGTTCAATATGGAATACGACTTGTTTGATTCATTACCACTTATATCAATAAAAAAATGTGTCCTGTCTAAAATACTGTTATACACCATAAAGGTAAAATGAAAAGAAAACATTTAAGTGAGTTAAAGTAAAGCAAATATCATTGAAAAAAAGACTAATATTTGATCCAATCATTGTGAAAGCATTAAAATCTGTCAATATTGGTTTTAATGATGAAGAAACAATCATTTCTCTTGAGAATAATTAAGTTCATTTAATGCTTTCTATTCTTACAAAGCTGTTAGCGCAATTCTTGCCTTTTAAAATGTGAAACCCGATGCAGTGTTATTGCTAATCGCAAGAAAATTGTTTTATTCTAGCTATGTTGGGTTATTGATATACGGTCTGTGGAAAGAAGCTGACGAATGATGGGTTCAACTTTTTACCCCTATACTTCAACATTCCGCTAAGATTGTGTTTCACGAAAGTTTCAATTTTCGTCACGAAGAAGACTCGATGTTTTTATTATTTTACGCTATCTCTGTTAATGTTTTTGTAAACATTTCCTTTATACCTTTCTATTGTCGTCATACGCTTTGCCCCCCACTCCCTAAATCTTGGATCATTCAAGTAGTTCTGGTTATTATTATTTTCTAAAGAATTACTATGGTTTTTGTGTAAAAGCTAGTAAGTCGTAGTAAGAGACGAAAATCATTACCTATCTCTTCGAATTTTCTCCTTTGCTTTTGTTTTGTGTTTGATTGAACTTTAGTATTTGCACATAGAAATAAAATTAACAGTGCAGTGCTTAGTCACTCAAAAGATCCGCCTCATAGCTAACAAAAAATGATCCAAAAAGAATGACGATGTCAATATTTCCTTAATATTTCTGTTCGTTCCCGTAGTTTTGAACTGAACTTTTTTCTAAACGATTCAACGTTCAACTGTGTACAAAACAATGTGTAAGTGAATTTTACAGAGATTGGAAGAAATAATCTCTAGTAGTAATACCACGAATAAGAAATATCAACAACTTTCCAAACTCTCTTCTCGGAATTGTTTTTCATTATATTTTCAATAAGAACAGCACTGCTAAAAGTTTTGACAGAATATCAGATGTTCAAAATACTTCTACGTCTGTATTTGACATGATTAAATTTTCTATATGAAATTAGTCAATGTGAGATATCATTAATTGTGAATTTAGTTAGACTTCTGCATTGTGACTCAGTAGATGTTAAGCCGATAAAAGATTTGCGCTGAAAAGATCATAATTAGATTGGCAACTGGAATCTTTGCGATAAAATGCACAAGCAAAATGAAAAACGTTGCCTTTTCTAAGAAAATTTTAATACATATTGTATTTTCTTTGAAAGAATTTCAGAGTATGAACGTGAGTACAGACAAGACTAACACTGACATCAACACACAAATCATTAATTTTCAACAATACTTATGGTGTGAGATACTCAGACTTCTCTTCTCTGACCTAGATTTTCTCGTATCGAATTATTTGTCATAACTTAAAATCAAGTTCAAATTGAATAATATTCATGTGTGGATGATATAAGCAACTGTAGGTATTTTCTCAGAATAATTGTGTGAAGAATTGATGATAGGATCAGTAACGTGAAGTTTATACAAACTAGAAAGACTCCAAATAAAAACAATGAACAACAAATAATTACATCACAAAACTTCAAGATGAATGAATTCTATCATTAGTGCACACTTTGTCTTCGTAGATATAAGAGAGACAAGAAAAATATAGATAAAGTTTTTTGAAATACGACAATAGTCTTGAATAATAGTTTATATGCTTGACTCTAGTACAAGTATGATGTGTTGCTTTATGTGTAAAGTTTTCTGTGACAATGTGTGTATATGAATAGCTGGTTGTCAGATCCATAAGAGATGATAAAAGCGTGTTGCTATCGATGAAAAGTTGTTCTACATTATCAATATTCTTGGTAATGCATTGTGAGATGAACAATATAAAGAAACACAAAAATTAACGATAGTGTACAATTTCATGGTTTTCTGCTAGAATTGAGCCATTTCATTTGGATATGAATCTATGTCAAAAATAATGTGATGCATCATAATCGAATTATTTCTGCCGCCTAGATTTAAAGTGATTGATATCGTTTCGAAGATTCACCTCCTAAATAGAACATCATGAGAGTATCGTCATAAATATCATTACACGAATTTCATAATAGCTTGATGAAAATTTTCTTGCTGTTTCTTTTCTCGTCACGCTCCAATACGAATAATATGTTTGTCACAGATCAATCTTGAAGAAACTGATAATTACATAGAGCACATGTGTTTTTTTCTTGTTCTTTGACGCGTCTTTACGATATTTTTTTCGTATTTAATATGTATTGATCACGGGAAGGTGTAATATGAATACTAGTTGTCAGTATTCGTCATTCGATAAACAGCAGCGTCGAATAGAGAAGAAAACGAGTGAGAGCAAGACTAAAACAAAGGAAGAGTATCAACATACAAATATATGTATGTACTTGTGTTGGCTATTATCTTATGAAAGCAGTCACGGGCAATAGAATACACAAAAAAACACACATCGATAGCGACAAATGAAGAAGCCTAACCTTGCTATCATGAATTCCTTCATCGAAAAACATGTCGAATTAAGTATATAAATGATCCTGATGTTTGAAATAGAAAACCAATATTGAATGGGTGGCATTTCTATTTCTATTTCTAGCAGCTTCTGAGTGAGTATTTGAACACAGATGATTTATAATAATTAAAACAGTTTATCGTCTTTAGAGCAATCTCGTGGAAAAAAATGGTTTATTGATGAAACTCACAACTCGAGATTTTCGAAGGAGTTTCGTATTTATATGACATATCAAAATCCAACGAACTGTATGTTTTGGTTCTTGCAATGTAGCATTTTACTTTCGAATATAGATCGTAATAGATATTTCATAGAATAATAAAATAGGATTGTTTCATTTTCTTTCTATCGATCTAAATGTTTGAATTTTTATATAATCAATGAATGAGAAGCAGCTAACACTATTTATATTCTTTTCAGATTTTCTCTGTATCAACACGTAATGTTACATCATTCATTATAGAATTCATTTTGATCTTTATAATTCTTGGCCATCAACACGTGATAGAAAATGGGACAATATTTCTCTCAAATCAATGAGAAAATTCTTGATTTAACGAATCAACATGATACGGATTTTACTTTTGATAGTGTTGTATCTAAAAGTGATCCAGACGATATTCTTTTATCATTATATTTGAAAAATCCTTGTCGCACGAACGATTCAATCGACAAAGATCCTGGTCATTCGATTAAGAACTCTGACAAACGATTCATAAAACAAATTCAAAATGATTTATCGAAATTAACTCATTCACAAGCATGGAATAACATCGATTCGGAAATTAGTCAAATACTCATAGAAAACTTGCGTGATCCTTTGATTGAATATTTTGGCGAGGCCATGCAAGAAGTTGAAACTATTTGGAAACTACAAAATGAATTACGAGAATCCTTAGCAAAGAATACTATAAGCAGTTCGCATATCAATCAATCAATATTTGTACACCATCCGATCGATTCTTCATCACAGGAGACCAAATGTCAAAATTTAGTGAACGAAGACAACAAAGAAAATGATCAAGAACAAAAGTTCGATATTGTCAAACATAATCAACAAAAAACAAAAATACAGCTTCAGCAACTGTCTTATTTCGCCATGCAATCGTTATCCTCGATTCTTTTACTATTGATTCAATCAATTGCCAAAAATGATTCAACTCTTGTACATCAAATATTGATATTGATGAATCAATTGTGTGAACAAATGCCTATGAAATGTTTATCATCGTCTATATTCACACTGTCACGCAGTAATTTCTTGTTTGCATCATTGAAACCATTGACAAATTACATCAATGAATTATCTTTATCAAATGATCCCATGGTAGCAAAACAAGCTAGGCAAATTCTATTGAGTCTTGGTGTAGCTAAAGGATCATTCAAAGACATTTTACCCATTTTGAGCAAACTCATATTTAACACAAACGATGTTTATCATGCGCAAGGCTTATTCGTACAATTGAACAATGGTCTATCGGAAGTTTTGGATGAACAGAAGATGGTAAAACAGGAAGTAGCTGGGGAAAACTCATACGATTCGGATGCCAAGCAAGGTAAAGACGTCACGTTAGACCTAAGCAAACGCTACAAAATCAACTTCGAGTATCTACTAGAAAAGAAAAGATCATTGAGGTTGACTTGATCCACAAAGCAAAGCTTGAATCGATTCCAACGAAATTGCATATTTGAAGAAGACACCTGGATATTTCATTCGAATAACTTTCGTTAGCAATATAATAGAGATTTGCGATTTCCACTGTTGGAAAGAGGACATGAAGACTCATTGAATTGTTTATTACAGATTTTTCTGACATACTTTCAGATAGATGAGTAAGACCAACATCTATCATCTTCATTTCCTCTTTCCAATAGTAAAAACGGTAGGTGTCTATCATGTTCGCACTAAAAAGTTATTCAAACGTTTCTCATCTGCTATCTCATAGACCGTGAAAGACATTTTGCAATGTTTGTTCATCAGTAGAACAGATCCATCGTGTTTCATGTGTTAATCCCATAGAAGTCACTTTGAAAGTTTTTTTTTCATGTGAAAAATACTAAAGTTCAATGAACTATTTAGATGAAACAACATCCATTGGACTGGATTATTTGAAATCTGTTGGAGCATATCCGGATACACAATTGGTAACCATGAACGAAAATCAATTTACTGGACAATTTATTTCGTCAATCATTTTAGCACACATTGATTTTGATAATGAAAATCATTGGATCGAACAATTTAACAAAGGTTCAATCGATAGTTCTTTCTCATTTGATTTTCATCCAGATACATTCAAACAATTGTTTCTAATTATTGAACAATTGATTGACGACACTAAATCAGAAAGAAATCCAACGATTAAATTTATTCTCATCGTGTGTGTGAGATTATTTACAACACATTTGAAATTTTTCTGTTCTTTGGAATCTAATATTAACAAAGACCTATTTTCAATAAATGATGAATGGAGTAAATCTTATTTATGGGAACGTTTTCAATCATCCAATGATATCAATTTAACTACATTTGCTACGGACATTGAATTGCATCAATGGTTTCAATTATTCTTCCAAATAGTTTCTAACCATGATGAACAATTCCAATCTACAATATTATGTCAAGAAGCATCACGAGCTTTAATTTATCTTCTTGACAAAACAACATCGTCATTTATTGAGAAATTATCATTTATACATAAACATATTTTCGAGAACAAACATCCTGTATTAATCGAACAATTATGGTTCGAATTGAACAGAAAAGTTACTCTATTATCTTGGATCGAAGTTCTTTGCGATGAGAAAGAAAATCAAGCGGAGAAAAGTGTAGCCTTTCACAAATTACATTTATTGATTGATATCTACTTAAATCCATCGAATGATTTCGAAAAAGAACAAAGACTAAGAATAAAAGAACTCTTATTATCATTTCAGAAACTTTTATTATCTCGAATGATTTTACAATCTTGTAAAATAGATGATATTCCATTTATAAAATCGAACATTGAAATAGATGAAATCGTCTTCTCGACTTCTACTGTTACTACTACAACTGGTATCTCTTCTTTGATGGTCAATTATATTACCCGTATAGTAGTTAATCATATTGAAACAGACGAAGTTTTCAATGATTTCTTGGATTCGATTCTACTCACTTGGTGTTTTCTGGTCAACACTCCGGAGAAAACCAATTTTGCAGTACTTCAGCCAATATTTACTGCTGTTCTACCACAATTAGCTGATTATATGTTACAAAATCATGTTCACGAAGCAAATGTGAACACTCATCTTCATTCTCTGTCATGGCTCTTGGCTCGGATGACTCAATTTTTGATTGTTGGTTCATCACGAAACTCATTGGAAAAGAAATATGTCGATCAATTGAATTCAATATTGTTTTCTAATGGATTAGAACAAATCCTCGAAAATAAAACGCGATATTTATCAGATTTATTTCAATCAAATTTGGCTTTATACAGTCAATTTATATTCGATGACTATCAAGAACAATCATCATTGGACAATGAATTTCTCATGTCTATATATGCTAATACTGGTCCAGGTGCACAATTGATAGACAAAATGCGACTTCATATTAAAGAAAAACATCGTTTACTTCAAAAATCCATTGAAAAATTAGCTAATGATGCTTGTGCTGCTCTATTTGCTGTCTATATAAAACATTATCGACGCATCAATTTAGCCAAATTGGAAGCGTCTCGAACGGATAATGAGAAACCACACAGTAAACTTTTGACACTTTTTGAATATGCAAATCATGTTCAAACATTATTTGTCACAATCAAAGGACAAGGTGGTGATTGTCAAGAATTATGTAATCATATTAAAACAAATGCACTTTTTCTCTTATTAACTGTCAAAGAAAATCATTTAATACCTATCATTCATGAAGAATCAATACAAACAGCAACTGATGTTACATTCACAGGCAATGTACAAGAAAATAAAGTATCGAAATTAATGCGAGAAAACTCACGATGGACAACAGCAAAACATATTTTTCGAATACTTCGAAATACATTACGAGTTTTCAATCAATTGAAAAAATTGATAAAATCAAAAAAAGAACTCATCCAACAAAAACAAGATTATGAAAATCTTCTTCATGAAATAATTGACATTTATGTCTATGGAAATATATCCAAAGCTTCAATATTAGCAACAATTCAAGAAAAGAAATCCATATCTGATGATCTTGTACAATGTATGTATCAACAATATGAAAGAGCTATGACAAGATTGATTACATATCGATTTAGTGAAACATTTATTCGAAAACTTCTTGATACTCAAGATGAAAATCGAATTCACACAATTCTTACTATCTATTTGCCACATTTAAGACAAGCTGATGTACAATGGTCATATTTGAATAATATTGAAGCATCAAATAGTATATTAAAAGAAGATATCGGTAATAGATATTACTCGTGTATTAAACATATTCTTTCCTATTCATTACAATCAATTAATTCAGAAAGAACAAACTTAATCGTACTAGTATTTAATCTATTGAATATATCCTATCAATCAGCTGATATTTATCATTTACATCGTTATCAATTCGTTGAAACAATTTTTACATCATGGATTAGTTCAATAAAAAAATTTGATGATCTCGCAACTGGATTGAAAATGAAATTTATTGCATATAATTGGTTTCGATTATTTGTTTTAAGATTATGTGAAAATATTCAAATAGAAGAAGTCAATGGTATAACGAGTTCATTATTACAAGAACAACAAGATTTTATTTTCAATAAATTAATATTCAATGAATTAAAACAATTGAAAAAAATCTTTGAAACAACTACAGAAAATCAAGAGCCTGATTCTACGACAGAAAAAAATGATTCATTAAATCATATTGCTTTCAGTTGGTTCCTAACGAAAAATGATACATCGAACATATCGAATTTTCTATCTTCGAAATTAGATATTGACCTTTGCATTAATCAATGGATGGTACTTCTACTTCGATGTATTCATATGTATCCAAATGCTCTATCTATTTGTACGACAATCGATTATATTGATGAATTTTTATCTATTTATCATCGAAGTCAACATATAAGTAGTATTTTACTTGCATTGAAAATATTACGTTATTTAATTTCATTTTCTTCGGAAACGACAAATGAAATAACAAATATATGGATAAAAAATATTTTAACAGAAATTTTCAATTCAATTGATGGAAATTTTCGAATACAACAAATTAAATCAGATATCATTACTGAGTTAATTAATTTCTATCGAACAATTATGTCAGTGAAATCTGCTTGGCAATCGATGGCTACACTACTTGTTGTTGAGAACATAACATCGAGTTTTAATGACTTGAAATCGCTTGATAATATTGATGAAAATCAAATGAACAATCTCGTTGCATCATTATATATATTAGGTGGATATATTCAATCGTATGGCCTAGGTTCGATCGTGAAAACCTATGTTGAAGATGAGAATCTCAATAATTTATATTTGGCATTGATCACAGAAATCAAAATTGATGTTCAAGATTCGAACACATCAGAAAAGTCATCCTACTTTATTCAATATTCTCAATTAGATAAGGCTGAATGGATTACGGTTGATCAATTAAAATTAGAGATTGATGTTCCACCACCAAATTTATTCTCATTACCTCAAGCCAATGAAATGGTTCATTTAATTCTTGACAAATTGGGATCTTTTATACAAATGGACACATCTAGAACTGATTCCATAGTTTTATTACAACTGAAACGTTGTAGTATAGGTGCTTTGTATCATCTACTAAACGATCGAAAACTGATAGAAATATTTATGCAAAAATCTTATGCATCTGTTCTGGCAGAATTGGCTATTGCAAGTATGCCATCGAAAAATCGACTAGCATTACATGATCTACGAGAGTTCAATAAAGAACATTTAGAACAATATTGTTTAAGTCTCAATAACTGCAATCATTTGAAAACAATTGCGGACAATGATAATGACAAAGAGAATGTTTCTCATGACATCAAACAAAATAATATTACTGATACATCATCATTTATCATTTGGAATAATGATCCAATTCATCGTGATCCACAGATCGTTGATGCATTATCTTTCAATTCGTTGAAATACAATGGATGGAAAGTGAAAGCATCAGAAGCAGAAATCGAACTGTACAAACAAGGTCGAATAGGAAATGATGAAATTGTTCTTGCTCCAATGCCACATAATATTGCTGATACAGAAGTATTTGAAGAATGCGGTAATACACATCGATTTCGAGGACGTATCGATACAAGTCATGATAGCAAACATAATGAGTTTGTGACTTTTATTCTTAATAATTTACAAGTAAACAAAGGTAAATGGTATTTTTGTATTAAATTGCCACTCGGTGGATTGGTTCAAGTGGGATGGGCAACAGTTGGATTCTCACCACAAGCCAGTAATGGTCTTGGAATCGGCGATGATTCCTATTCATGGTCGTACGATGGATCACGTCATGTTCTCTTCCATAATGGTCGTTATGAGTATCCGACGGATGATATTTCCTGGAAAGAAAACGATGTGTGTGGTTGTGGAATCGAAATTGATGATGAAAATACACGAATCAAATATTGGTTAAATGGAAAATTCTTGGGCACAGCTTTTGCACAGGAGTCATATATGGGATCGACAACAGTGAAATGTAACATTAAGCCTAATGGATCGAATACTGCCTATTATCCTGGAGTTTCTTTGCAATCGTATAGTTATTGTTCGAATTGTTGTGAATTTATACTTTGTCCAGAAGATATGACCGAGTGTCCATTACCTGACGGTTACAAACCATTACTGTTGCCAGAATTAGTTAATACGGAAAATTCAATTGTTGCTTATCCTTTCAGTGCTTATTTAATTGGAGATGATATTCAAAATTATTTTCACACATCTCGACTAAGCAATTCAAGAACTCGTTTACGTGACTTTGTCAACGAGCATCATCTAGAAACAGCGTTCAGTCTTGATGATCATCATTTAATTTTATCTGAAACTAGTAACGGTTTTCCATTTCCTATTGACAATTTAGCATCATCACTCACAATTAGCTTTGATTTTAAACTTATTACGTCAACTGATAATAGTTCGAACAACAACACTAATATTCAATTATTTACATTGACTACAATGGAAATATTTTCAGTAGAAATACCAAAATTAAGTGAAATGAACGAAGAGACACAAATAGCAATCGTATTTCAACCGAACGAACAACAAATAAAACTCTATATGAACAATAGATGTCGAATATTCTATGGAAGATTTGATCATGAAAATACGGTAAAACTGATGTTACATATTTTGCCCAATACTAGCGCTGGAATTCGAAATCTCGCAATATGGAAATATGCTTTATCGAATGAAGATATTCGTCGTCTATTCACTTATGGTTTATTCTATGTGGCTATCGATTATCAGCAATTGAAAGAATATCGCAGACAAGTGAATATGTTCACATTTACCAAAAATCAGCAAGCATTTGTTGATGAATTACTTGTACCATTTAATCAACCATTCGAAGAGAATTTGTGGAAAACAAGAAAAATACAAATCGATCACGATGAATCGATCTATTTCAAATCCATCGATGATACTGATCGATCTGTTGTTCAATTTTTTGGCAACAAAACTTATCTCACTCTAGATATATCTACTACACAATACTCTGAATTGACACTTATACTCGATATTTTTATACCAAATTTTCCAAAGAATAACGAACAATTAACATTAGTGATATTGAATTCACAACTAAGCATTTGTCTAGCTCATGATGGTCGTCTTTTTCTTTCATCGTACAATCGAATTTTACAGACGAGTACATCAACATATATTCTAAATGAATATGTACGTTTTGTTATTTCGATTAATGACAACTATGCTAAAATCTACATGAATAGTTCATTAATTATTGAATATGATAAATTTACAACGGAAGCTAATCCAATTTATCTGTTTAGAGAAAATGATTTGACGAAAAATACAATTAATGACGATACATTACGAATTGAATGCAAATTAATTAGTTTTCTTAACCGAACTGTTCCAATAGATGATCGAATGAACTCATCAGAATGTTCATTAGACTCGTTAATTGCACCACCTCTATCACTTAGTGTATCAAGTTTAAGTGCCATCGGATACAAAGCAACATGGATTGAATCGATCATAAAATCATCGAAAACATTCAATATTCAAATGTTCGATACGTTGATTCGTGAACAAAAAGAACAATTAATCCAGGTGGATCTAAAACATCGACGCGATTATTATTTGAATATATTGTCGAAATTAGCTCCATCAATCGATCAAAACAAATTGGAAAATTTGATCATGTCTATTAAGCTTGAAAATGATGATGAATTGTTAGTAGCAGCTGAATTGATGTTTGCCTGTTGGAATGATTTACAAAGATCAACAATTTCAACTGATGACAACAACGAAAATGAATCAGCGGATAATAAACAGTTTCATCAAATTGTACGTGGTTTATGTACTCAAAATAGTCTCATCGAATGGCTTCACGACAAATCAACGAATAATGAAGATGATGATCTCGCTACTCAACTTGTGGATCTGAATCAATCCATATTAGAACGATCGATTGCAACTACATCAATTGAAAAATCACATAAGATAGAACAGAAATCAATTCAATATTCACATCAACATATTTCATATCAGCAATATTCAAATTCACGAATGGCATGTGAACATGGATTAATCTCGATCTATACCAGAGAGATCATCTTTAATCTTCTCAATATTTGGTCGAATAATGGTCAAAATTTATTTCCATTAGAAAAACTTGCTAATTACCAATCGATTGTTACTTTACTGCGATTGATGGATTATCATTACAGTTCCATTAGTGAGCAAACAAATGAAAATATTGATAAAGTGAGTGTCATAGCAAAGTCTATTGTTAAAACTGAAATCGATGAATTACAAAAGCACATGAGAACAGTTAATGAAATGGATAGTGATTTATTTCAAAGCAAAACTCCTTTTCTGAATCAATTGCAAAAGTATCTCATTGGTCAATTAATTCTTTGCTTAGCAACACCATCGTTTCTATCGAAGAATTCTCATGAGGAAACATCTAATATCAACGAACAAATCATAATGAAACAGCCAAATGTGAGATTTCTTCTCACATTGATTAATATATTAGCAGAATTAATAGCAGATAAATCAACAATGAATCAACAGGAAATCGATCTAATTATTCCATTCGTATTTCCAGAAATGTTAATCAATCTTCTATTTGATCTATTTCTCATAAATTCAATGTATCAAACAGAAATCGTTGTCCTTCGTTTATTCACTACGTAAGTAAAAAAAGAACAAAATTAATTGGATAAATTGATTTCTAACAGTACATGCCACATTATTTCTTCAAGCACGAAGAATTTGCATAGACACAACAAGAAAAGGAACGATCACCGAATCATTTTCATTTCACATGTTAAGAGAAGAGCCTTACTCACACCGATCATATTGTTCGAGAGAGTAAGATAAACTACGTAGCATATCGAAATATTTATCATAGTCTGTAGGGAAAAGAGAGAGAGAGAGGAAGGTGTTTATTCAAATTTCTCGCTATTTAGTTCTTTCAATATCGCATTCAGATCATGTTACACAAAATGTCTATTGAAAAGCTCAGAAATTGTCACTGTTACATTGTTTGCTAGAAAAATTGAATATATTCATTCGAAAATATTCCTTTTAATCAATCAGATATCATTGAGAAAAGGTACCTCCGGTCAGTTCTACTGTTAAGTATTCGGTTCGGCTTATTTGCACAGTTAATGGTAGTGTTTCTATCAAAGAAGAAATTATCGGTGATAGAATATCATGAACGAAAAGATCTTTTGAGGAAATGAAGAAAGCAACAAAATAATTTCTAACTAAATTCAAAAATTTTCAACTTATGCTACTAATTTCTTCATCTTTTTCAGTTTAATTCGAGCCAGCGAAAAATTTCATTTAAACAAACAAATGATTGATTTTCTCTTCCAATTACTTATCGAACTATCGAATAATGAACTATCGATGAAGAAATTCCGACTCATCGTCATGGATATATTCTATGTGTTATGGATTCGACAAAAGAATCAATGCGTGATCAACAACCACCTTGAAGCAACATTGGCTGCTTGCCCAGAAAATGTTCGCAATCTTTGGACATTGATCGATTTTATCGATGCTTTGGTTGATAAAAGTAAACAAAAACCATTACCTGAAGCATTTCGTACACAATTAAATACTATTCTGGATAATGATAACAATATCACTGCTGACGATTTCAACAAATCCCACAGTCATTTTGATTCGATTGCTGATAGAGAATTAATTCGTTTTATGAATAAAGATTCAATACTTGATTTATCATTCGATGAATTTATCGCCAGTCTACCTATAGAGTCCGAACCAAATCGAATATTCTACAAAACATATCCTTCATTGTCAACCATTCCAGCTAATTTTATACAGATTCGTGTCAAATGCATCTACTTATTGAACACGATTTTCGAAAAAATTCAGCCTATTGTCGACTTAAGTTTAGCTCCAGGACGAAGTGTTCTAGCAGATAAACTTCGAAATGTCAAAGCCTATCTGCTATATAAGAAAAAATTTGTATTATTCGAAGAATCTTTACAAAAAACTAGTGCCGGATGTCTTGATAGAATTACGGTTATACTCGATACAGTGAAAGCCACTGAGAACAGTGAAAATGGAGAAAATACCATGTTTTATCAAGCCTATGAACAATTACAGAAAGAGGCTCATAAAATATTTCGAAGTGAAGATGAACGTTTATGGCATGCAACCTATGTTGGCATGAACAGTATTGATGCCGGTGGACCTTATCGTGATTCAATCACATGTATATGTTCGGATATTTGTAGTACACGACTACCACTATTCATTTTATGTCCCAATGGACGAACTAATACTGGTTTGAATCGTGATCGTTGGGTTCCCAATGTATTTTCACCGCATGAATCGATTCCGAATACATTTAAAAACCAATATCGATTCGTTGGACAATTGATGGGCATAGCCATACGAAAGAAACATTATTTGGATTTGAAATTTCCCATTTTTCTATGGAAACAATTAGCCAGAGAACCAGTAACTATTGATGATATTAAAGCAATTGATTTACAAAGTTTTAAAATTATTGAAGAAGTAGAGAGACATTTTGTAGAAAACAAACTCATTAATACAGATATTGATATCGAATATTTATTCAGTAGTGTTATGAGTGAACTTCGATTTGATGTTGTTAGTTCAGCTGGAATAACTTATGAACTTGTTCCTGGTGGCAAAGAAATTCCAATAACAGCATCGAATTTTAAAGATTTCTGTACAAAATATCGTGAATACCGTCTCAATGAATTTTGTCGTCAAATTGAATGCATTTGTCAAGGAATGTACAGTGTTGTACCATTTTATTATTTGAGTCAATTTACAGCTGATGAACTTGAGGACTCTGTATGCGGGAAAGGTCATATTGATATTGAACTATTGAAAAGAAACACCTATTATGGCGACTCGTACAATCAAAACTCGCCGACCATTGAGCGGTTTTGGACAGTTCTCAGTGAAATGTTCAATGAGGAACAAAAGAAATCGTTTATTACATTTGTTTGGGGACGAAGCACATTACCACTTTGCAATGAAGATTTTACAAACAAGTTTTGTATTAATCCTTATTATATATTGTCTAACGAAGTGGATACGATGCTTCCGCGTAAGTATTATCAGACATAGGCAATCGCAAAGTCGACATTCTAGACTAATATCCTCTACAGTTCCTTGTAATCTTGTTTTCAAAAACAAAAAAAAGATTTTAAATCTAAGATCTGTTTTGAATGCGATCGAAAAGGAAAAAATATTGAAAAACAACAAGCCAAATTTCAATTAGGATAAGGATTGGCCATTTTATTTTTCTAGATTGACGATAGATCACTCAATTGTTTAATAATCTTTCCGAAGTTGACATTACTTTTCATGAGTAGTTTTGCTGTAGATTTCATATTAGCTTCAAAAAAAAATCTCATTTGTCGTTTCTAAACATGACAATTTGTTCTCATGGAAACAGATGAGAAAGATCTGGGACAACGTTCAGCAGCGAACTGCGCGGTTACTCAACTCCATTTTTTTTCTTTTTCAGGATCACATACATGTAATTTCTCCCTTGATCTACCAGAATATTCAACAACTGAAATTATGTATGAACGTTTGAACTATGCTATCACATATTGTTCAAGTATCGATGGTGATTGAACACTTATCTCTGACCGAAATTCATGTAGCTTATGTTTAGACAAACGGAATCTTACACTCGAACGCAACTATTTTCTTAATCAAAAAAGAACTTAACTACTGCCATTTACTAACATTTAATCGATCAAAATACAAAAGAAAACTTTTTGTGTTTCGTTTTTAGTAGTTATCTCAACTAATTATTTATACTTTTTATTCTAATTCATTTATAAAGTTTTAAAACAAGATTTTGAAATATTATACTCATATATAAAGCAGATCCTTTCTTGTCGAATGCGACCTGTTTGAGAATAGCCTTGAATCATAATCGTTGTGTTTCAGAGTTACTAAGACAATTTGCAGCACATAACGATAAGTCCCACTACGGCTCAATAGGAGTGTGAGTGTGAGAAAGTCGGTCAGTGTCTTCTGTTGACCTAAATGCACACCGACACACACCTCAAATAGGCTTTTCTGGTACAGAATGAAGGTGAATGTGAATATTTTGGTGTGTAACGCTCAATTGAGAAGTGAAGGTAGAATCGGAAAATCAATGAAAGTGCAAAAACATAATGACCCTATATATTATACGACATAGGCTTGATAGTCTGGCTTACTTTGTCACGACTAGTGAAATATTGACTAATTATAGCATAATCATTGATCTACGCCAAGATAATGATATATCAACAGCTTCCTGCGAGACAATGATATGGAATAAAAATAAGATCAAGACTTGTGTGTCGATAATAAATTTTCCACCAATGTGGTGAACATTAAATAATATGAAGTAAATGAGAGCAACATTTATGGGCAGTTAATGATTAGTTATAGTTGGTGTTTTTTAATATTACGTTCGAAATCTGTAATCAAGTTGACTTTGTAAATTGGAAATCCTGGAACAAAGTTTTTATTTTTCATCAATTCTGTTCAGCCTCTCAATAATCTTGAGCAGATTTTGTTTCTATAGAAACTGACATCAACACGTAGAACAAATATGTCAATAAATCTCTATTTTTCAAAGTCACCAACAGATTTCCTAATAAGAACCCATTTATAGCGTTGTTGTTTTGAGAATTTCACCGGAAATTTGAACGAACACATCAACGTTTGTTGGTGAAGAGAGAGTCATCTTATGTTCCAACTATATATTAGAAACGAATTTTTGACAGTTTATATTTGATGTCAACGGGAGAAGACCCTGCTTATCGGACGAAATTTCGCAGTATCATGGCATTCGGTCATAGTTATTTCCGCCCCAATGGAGTTGCGAAGTGTAAGGAAATATTGTATTGTAACTGATACGTGTCAGTCGTCTCTAGTGTTATGTTCTTAAGTAAAATTCTTTAAAATTAAAGAGTATGATAGGCGTTGATTTCATCTGGTCGAATAAAAAGTATCTGAGCACTATTTAATCAATAGACAAATCATATTCAGTCGAGTCGACTAAATTTCAAAAAAATCTTTTCCAACTATTTTTTGTCACTCGTCGCAGACATTAACAAACTATCGACTCAATTCGAACAATGACAAATGTACCGATGATCCTTGTGCTTGATCAAAACTGTTCTAATTGTCGTTTAGATTTTAATTTGATAGGAATTACGATGAAACATTTTAAACATTCTTATTTATTCTCCATTGGAATCTGAGCATACACCATGTTTCAAATATTTTTTTAGATGCAATGCTTGCCCAACAAAAAAAAACAGCAAGTATTGACAGTTTTAATCTTTGTTTTCATGTATACCTGCGTGCTTTAGACCGCTAGATATGCGCATATGATAAGATAATAGAAATAAGAGAAAATTCTTATATAAACTTGATATTATTTTAACAATTCAAAAAACAAGAAGGAATGAATATTTTTACATTTTGCATCGTTTTTGCTCTCTGCACTGCAATTGTTGCCAACAACTTTAACAAAGCTTTAATTGATCATGACGGGCATGAACAAAAAATTGAAAAACAATATCGATGCATTGCCCGATGTTTCTTTTCCGTTTCATTCGATCAATTATCGTCATTTGTTCTTCCACAAGAATGTCAAACACGTTTTCAAAATTCTGTTTGTCATATTGAATTGAATATTGATTATGAAAACCGAAATGTTTCAGGTGCATTTGACTATCATGGTGATCATGCTGATATGTCAGGTGGCATCGATTTAAAACCCGGAATGGAAATGGAAGTACGTGAAGCAACATATAATTTTCAACGTAAACAAGTATCGAAAGCTACTTGGATCAATTTTTGTGCGACTAATGATGAATGTGATAGAAATTACATGGATACTCATCTTTTACACATTGTTAAAACTGAAACTTGGAATATGTTCGACAATATTTCTCAACTAATTTTTTCCTCTACATCGAAAAATGTACAATGTTATATTGATGAGACTATTGTACGAAATTGTACGGATAGAAATATGTGTAACTATAACCAGGACCCACAATTCAACAATGGGAAGCCATATTATAATTGTCAACCGAGTTCAACTGATCAACAAATGATATTCTTCCAAACGCATCGATCCAAGACATCGACAACATTTTCATCTGATTTAAAGAAATATGATATACTCAATTATACGTGCAATATCGATAATTGTAATAGTCCAATAATTGTGAACGAAATCAAACGTTTGATCAATTTGCAAGTCGAGAAAGATATGATAAACTCTAGCAATTCTTTCATATTCGACACAAAAATTCTTTTTACTGTATTTTTCGGATTGTTTTGTGTGTTTTTTGCTTAAAGAAAATATTTCATAAATTCCCAAGATTCTTCATTGTTTACATTTGATAGAACTGTGGTACCACAGCAAATTAAATGGTAATGTTAGAAATAGATATATTTCTATTGTGCAACCTGTAACATGCTTTAGCGCTAGACTTGTTAGCGGCCGTTTTTTTGCCGCCAACGTTGCCCTCCAGGTTTTTCTTGAGTCTTCCTTATCGTTAGAAAATATTTTGCAGTTATCGTATATCACTGCGACTTTCATTCAATATGAGAAGCTTTAATAGTTTCATAAAAACTTACACAATGTCAAAACATATCTTTGATATTTTCCTTGAGCCTACAAATATCAGAACCTTTCAGCCATCCATCTAAATGAAAAGCTTCCCGTCACTTGAACAGTTCTCTAAGGAAAGACAAACTCGGTCGCGGTAGCTCATTTTCTAATTCATCCTCATCCTCACGTAAATAACATGGAATACGTGTCATCGTTTTGTCTTCTTTTCGAACATGAATAGTCATTTTTCGAGGAAATTGTGATATGTAGAGCTTATAGGTATAATGCAGTAGATTTCTACTTTCAGAGATCATTTCTATTGATCTCGAGCCATCTGATGAGAAAATTCAACAAGGCCGAAATGCTCATCATCGTAGGTAGTAGTCTGTCCAATATGATATACCCACTCTCCTATCCACACAATCAAGATGGAGATAGCGGAGTACTCCATATAAATACTGGAACTTTATTCTTTGATTGAGCAAAAAGGTTTACTCTAGTAGTGATGGTCACTTGACCTCACGCTAAAAGTGAGTTTATAACTGATGTCTACAGTACGATCAAGAAATGTATTATATTGTCACATCAACGTTTAGTTGATTAATGATCATAATATTAATAGATAGACGAGTCTCTGGAAAAGAAATTTAGAATAAACCAAACCAAACCAATCAATCTACCAACGCCAAAATGCTTGCAAAACATATTTTTGACGGATACTTGCGTTGGTAGTCAACTGCAAAAGCCACAAGATTCACAACAAATTTTTTCATCTGCAGAACTTTGTAGAACCCGTTACGCTGGCCTTTTTGGTAAAAAAATATTCAAATTTATTCAATACATCATGGTGCTATGGTCATAATACTTAAAAAAATGTCAACTACCAATCAGCAACAGTCAGATTTTTCAGCGTAACGAACTTTACAAAGCTCTATGGACGAAGAAAACTTCTGAAAATTGTGTATGTTTTAAGGTTAACTACCAATGGAAGTATCCATCTAAAATTCGATTCGAAAAAATTTTGTCCTTGGTAGAATTTTTTGGCTGTCTCAAAATTAAAGTCAGTCAACGAATATGTTGAAGAATAGTGTATATGAATTGATTCTGTATTGCTGTAATAAGCAGCAGTCTATTTATTATTCGAAAGGTCTTAATGCTTATATGGACGTCTCGATCGACATCATATAATGTTTATGAAATAAGTAAAAGTTCAACTTTGGTATCAAGCGCAGACTGACAAAAAAACGCCAATGCTTTTGCTACCTCTATTGGCCACAATAATATCAGGATAGGTATCAGCGCCGATATCGACGACGGCTACGAAGTATGGGTTATTCCTAGCTGCATAGGTTGTTTGATTGCCAAATATGCCACTGCCTAAGTTCAGCAAGACACCAACGTTGTGGCTATTGTAATTTAGCACAATAACATCGGGTTGACCGTCGGCATTGACATCGACGACGGCTACAGAGTACGGGGGGAAAGAAGTTGCATAAATCGTTTGATTGCCAAATGAGTCAGCTCCTGTGTTCAGCATCACACCAACGCTGTTGCTATCGTAAAGTGCCGCAATAATATCAGGTCGACTATCGGCATTGATATCAACGACTGCCACATAAAAGGGACCAGTACCAGTGGCATAGGTCATTTGATTACCAAATATGTACTGCCACGAACCTATTTGAATACATTATTACATATTTTCGATAGCTTTATGTCTGCGTAGTATAAGTTACATCATGGTCACTAGTATTTGTATTCAATTTGATTTCAGTTAATGTAAACCAGATGTGTCGTGGTTTGGAATATGGCTTCAAAAATTTGCAAAAACTTTTTGCGAAATTTAAAAAAAAGAGATCTCTCTTTTGACGCGATTGAAACGAAAAAAATATATGAGATGCCAATAAGAAGATATATTATTTAAATGGCTAACAGGTGATATTTTTTACTTTAGAATGTAACAGTCAGCCATCCAATTTCAACTAAATTCCTCTGCAGAAAGTGATAAATGGCAGAACATTTTAAGTCACAACTTATGTACACAATATTACTATAAAATAGTCAATAGAAGTTTTTCTCTCTCTGTTAGATTCAATGAGAACGATAGATTTCGCTTGTATCCACTGAATGATGAAATATAATGAAATTCTCACTGGGATGCAACGAAAACATTAGGACGGCAATCTTATCATCATTCAAGGAAGATAAATGCCGAGAACGTCATTTTAGCGTATCAAGAAAATCGAACTCGCTCGAATCACGAGCATATGAAAGGTACACAGGAGAAATATGCAAGATGTGCTACAAAAGATAAATGGTAAGACTTATGATCATGTTAATTTCATGAAATTCTGATACTGGTCATAGAACTTTCTTCTATCGCGCAAGCATTTCGATTTTAGGCTATATGAGTTCGCTTAACTCTTGAATTATTGTGTCATTTAGTTTTTTTCAACTACTTTTTAAATCATTTGTGTCTTAATCTCCTTACACCGATCCAATAATGTTTCTTCAACTTTTTATGGGATTTCATTCTTTTTTCTTAGTATCTGTACGCATAATAGACATGGAAATATGATTTCATGAAATCCCTAGAAAAAAATCCATGAACTCGCATGATAGTCATGTCTTAACCAGTTTTTTTACTAAGATGCCAACTAACGTTCATTTTATGGTCAAGTGTGTATGACATTTTTTTTTATAAGTATATCAACAGAGAGCAATAAGCCGAATTTTTGACACCATAGTCAATTCGAGTTTTACTTGTAATATTGGTTAGTTTTTCATCAAGATCATGAATTAGAGGTTGTAACTCCGAGTGTATGGACATCTAGATAACGTTTTAGAATATATTTTGATAACAACCTAGAAAAGTTGTGTTCAAAGCGTACAGAGTTATTTTCATGAGAATTGTATAGGACAGTCTTCACAGTGCAGGAATTTAAGCTTATAATATGAAGAAATGGGTTGACAACCAAGGAGCCACAAGTTTGGAAATGGCATCGACAAATCAGTCGGAGTTGTATGCGTAGCTTCAGCTAGAGAGGTTCATACAGGAAGAATTGAAGTACAAATGAGATGTTTAGTGCAGTGACTTAAACCTTGAAGGATTGAATAACTCCTATAAAATCTCGAGTCAACATTGTTCTATAGTACAGAACATTCGTTCACATCTTTTAAAAAAAAGGGATGAGCGAATCAATTTAATGATGAGTACTATCTTGTTTTAATATCGTATACTGTTGTGAAACTACCAAATGTATTAAAGTACTAACAAAACAAGAAGGATATTGAATATGTCGTGCAAAACAATTAATGACTATTATAAACTAGAAACAATGAAAAAAACTATATGTCAAAGAAATGGTTGTGCTAGTGTGTTATTGTTTGTTCTTTAATCAAGAGAAAATACTTATAACAGGCACGATCATAGGGCTATTGTTCGAAAACCAGTGAACTATCCTGAATCTGTGAAACACACTTCTTATAGCAGTAGCGTACGGCAAACTAAGAACCTTTTTTGATAAAGCATTCATTTCAGACTGTATTTAGCTATTAGACTCTCTATGTTTTCGATAATTAATCAATGGCACATGGTTGAATCTTTTTTAGGATAAATAGTGACCCTAAACACTTACTAGTTGCCATTACTGTGGCTGTGGCGGCCGTGATTTTACTTGTCGTGGTGATCATGTTAGCCAACATGGTTGCGGTATCAATTATTGTGGTTGCAGTGTCAGTTATCGTGACAGCGTTGCCAGTCGCCGAGGTCGTATTGGCAGTTGTCGTGGTCGCGGTGTCAGTTATCGTGGTTGAAGTTGCATTTGCGTTCATGATGGTGAGCGTGGTAACTGATGTCACTGTTTATCAAAGTGAACAAGAAGTATTTACGATTAAAACAAATACAAAAATCTTTCTTAGAATCAGGGTCACCCTTTCAAAGCTTAACCGAACTATATTCACCTCACCTTGAGAAAAGGATCCTTTCTTTTTCTTAAGTAGTGCTTAACTCTTCTCTAAACGCATCGATCGAGTTTCTATGTGCAGTTACATAAACATTTTCCCGTTTTGGTAAGATGATCGAAAGACTCAGTGAAAACTAGCTTCAATACAGCAATTTTACTCTTATCAGTTGTTTATATGCACGAGTTTTATTATTGTAAATTTATTTTGTTGAACACCTTCTTTCGTGTTACTCGCTCATTTTGATCTATCTGTATTGATTCAGACACTTGCCTCTAAATGTTATAGTTACTTCTACGCAACATTTATTCGTCCTTTCATTTTTTTTCATTATACACTGTTTCTTATTCGTTATTGTTTATATATTTTTTCCATTATTTCAGCTAGAGAGCACTGTCCTAGCTGTCTCTCGAATAACACGATGCACAAAAGGATCGATATTCTTAAATAATACCACAACGTTCATGTCAACGATACACATTCTATGAATAACTTTTTTTTGGCGTTACAGTTGATTTTGCTGCTCTATCTATCTCTTGATTATGCTGAAACTTTATTTTTATCGATGCATACATCTATTATTATGTCACCGCTAAACACCGGTCACATCTCGCATTTTACAGATACACCCACTGACAAACGCTCTTATGATTACTCTACAGTATCTTGATGCACTCAAATGGGCTACTCATCATCGCCACCATTTGATCTGCTCGTTCTTTTNCATACAAAAAATTAATTTTTTTAAACTTTATCATTAGAAAATTATTTTTTCTGTT